TGCCAACGGCATCTGGTACTAGCTCGACCTTGTTCGGCTTAGGTTGAGGGCGCAGGGTTGATCAGTTAAGTCATTTGCGGATATGTCAGTTGTTCTTGCTTTCCCAATCCCTCTGGAACCCTCGGAACCCTCCCAACTATGTTTTAGATGTTTCTTGGGGCTTAAGTTCAGTCAGAAGAGGCCTTCATGTTCAGGGCACCCCTGGTTGATTTGGATGAAGGAGAACAAGTCAGGCCGAAAGCCTTTAATTGGCTCGCGCCCCAAATTCTTATAGCCACCTTTCTGGTGACCTGCCAGAAATAGCACAAGAGTCAATGGGAGCCTGGAAAAACATGGGGCGAGATCTTTCATGTTTACACACATTCCCGAAATCTTGGCAGGACGTGCGGGCTCTTGGTCTGCGGCTCCTTGCTACCTTGTACGATATCATGCATCCTGGGTGCCCATGTTCTGAAGAACCCTAGGGTAGCCCCCCAGGGTTAAGGTTCAATGTTGCTTCTGTACAAGTATGACCCGTGCTGTGGCTACAAAACAAACTTTTATGTACTGCAGACTGACCTATACACAAACATCCTGCGACAAGGGACTGTACATATGGTAGTTTCCCAAAATAAGGGGACCCTTATATAGACCCCAAAATACTATAGTCCTTATTATGGGGACCCCCAATATGGTACCCCTAACTTGGGGAAAGCCCCATATCTAGATTCTTGGAAGGCTGAGGGTATACAGAGTCAGCTCTTAATAAGACTTGCCAAAGCAAAAGTACAGATGCTCTAAACTCGGAACCCTCAACCCTAAAGCCTGTTGCTGCAACTTGTCACTTTTCCGACGCCATCAAGGGACACCCCACCGTCTGAAAGGCTCGGATTTTAGCCCCAAAAACTCATTCTTGCACAGGGCTGGTCAAGCATCAGTAGCTCATTGGAAAGCCATAGCCCTTCCCCGAAAACCGTCGCCACAAAACCCTAAACCCTAAACCGCTTGTTTGAATTTTGCGTTGCCAGCATATGGGATTTCCAAGTAGTCGCTCGTGTACTTGTATTTCACATTCCTGAAATCCTAGCCCCTGCAGATCAAAACCTTTCCTGAAATGGTTCTCCATAAGGTGTAAAACCTGATCCTAAATCCTGATTACGTAGAGCATCCAGACTGACAGCCCTGTGCGTAAACAGAACGGGCTGGCTCGGATGCTGCTGGATGGCAAGTAGAATGTGATGGCCCCCTTTTATCCCCAACTAGAGTAACCCAAGAACGGCTCCTATCTTTGACAGTAGCGTATAGCTAGTGTTCAGGGTTTAGGTCGCCGGAATCATGGAACCACTTGGAGAAAAAAGTGAACATGTTTTTTGTTCGGGCTTTCTAAAGTGTATGGTATTGGTGCCGTGACATAATCATATTACAACAACTGCGAGGGCAGCTGATTCCGCCCTTCTAGCACTTTTAACCTCACTTCCTTGCAACTTCTTCTCGACTAAAAAGGATCATTTTTACATGAAAATAAGGAATCCCATAACCCAAAAAGTATAAAGGATCCCTAACATTGATCCAGTGTAGGCCCCTTCCCATGGGACTTACTTCAATCCTTGCCCTGCATTTCTAGATCCAGGGGCCTTCTCAAGTCAACTGGCACCTATGAGTAGTACTTTGTTTGGGGTTACTATGGTACCCAATATTGGGATAATGGAAATTGAAAATGGAAACTACTATAGTATAGGGTTTAGGGTTATGAGTTATGAGTAGTATCTTATTTGGGGTTACTATGGTACCTATAGGGTTTAGGGCCCTATAATGGAGAATCAAATGGAAAAGAACATGGAAAATGAAATGGAAACTGAGATTATATGGCAGGGAAACACCTAGAAATACTTAACGCACGTCATGGAAAACAGCTCGTACCGCGCAGCCTACTCATACAAGGCATACCACTTACAACAAGCTACTTTTCAAAATCGGGATGAGGTTGTATATCCGGACAAGACCCCCATTCTTAGGTACAACTCATCCATCCACATCCAAGACAGGCCAACTATACAGTGCTGCAGTACGAAAGGCCAAGGGGCTTGGGGTGTCAGGCTTAGGGCTTAGGATATACTACAGTATACTGGGGTGACATGGGGATAATGACAAGAAAATGGCAACTACAGTAGGTGGCAGACATGAGCCTCTATAAACTCTCTTGACATGTTTGCATAATATACCGCAGTCTATGCAAGTGAAATCTACATTTAGCTGCACCTTTCTGCCTTTCTGCATCACAGAATGTGATACAACACCTCAGGTGCGTTTGAGGCTCTTCTTTCAGACTAGTCTTGGGTAATTAGCGGAACGAGAATATAGAAAGTACCCCTTCAAACTGCATGTCGGGCCTGCATCAACTGAACTATGATCTTCACACCCACACATCTTTTTGATCATGCCAGAGTAGACTCCAAACAAGCTACAGGTCAGGATTTAAGTTGGCATTTCTGAAAAGGAATTCTGTTGGAGGGTCTAGTTTCCTCATGTAGCTTTATTCGGATCTCTACTGAACAGCACAACTCCTGGGCGTGCCTGCTAATCCTTCGCCTTTGAGGGCACGCCTTGCACCGTGACACCCAGTACGTGCTAAACAAGCCAGGCTGAAACCTCAGTCAAAAACACGGTTTAGGGTTTAGGGGTTTAGGGTTGCGCATCAACTTCATATTGCAATTGAGGGCCTCCAAGCTACACATGCCATGGGTTGTCCGCGGAAGCGTAGCCTAAGCCCTTGTGAAAAGTCATGTGAAAGGCTCTACCATAACAGATACTAAGGCCCGTACTGCATAACCCTTGGAAGGCGAAACTTCTATCCAAGAAATAACTTCATCCTTCATGAAAAGCTGTTGCATAGGCACCCCAGGGAGCCCCCCAGTCTCGATTAAGGAAACTGTCTCAAATCATATTAGGGATATCAATACCGCATTTATGATATATCCTTGAATTCCGGTATACCCCGCTGGCTGGGACTCTTGTGCCCATTTTAGTCGTCACCGTGTGCGGTGCGCCCATTTTCGTAGCTTCCATTTGCTGAATCCCCAAAATTGTCCGTGTCTTCCTTGCCCACTAACAAAAAGCCTTAAACCCTTTTCAACCCAGGACTGAGCAGCCTAAACCCTAACCCCTAAAGCCTAAACCCCAAACCCTAAACCCCCACACCCTAAGCCCTAAACCCCCAAACCCTAGACCCCTAAACCCTATGCATCCCCAGAATCACCCTGTTTCCATTTTAATTTTCCATTCTTCGCATTATCGAATCTAGGCCCCTAGGCCCCTAAGCACTCAAACCTATGAATCCCATTTACCCCTATAAGTCCTTATACGTCACTATAGAAACCGATAGAAGCCGCTTCAAAGGAATCCTACAAAATACTGTTAGTATTAGAGCCACAGTACAAAATGAGACACATGCTAAACTCCTAGTATCCCCCTTAATGATCCCTATAGTGCTCCTCTATACAATCCCCTATTTCACCCCCTTCTACTAAGAACCAGAAACAAATGGGCATTTTTTGTTTAGGCCCCACTCGTCCCAAGCTGTGTGGCGGCCTCGAGCTCAGATTTCGTAGCCTCGTGCTGAGCACGTTCGCGCTCGAGGGCCTACGCGCTTTGGAGAAGGGAAGGAAGAGCTGTAACCCCAAATGGCAGGACCCTCCTAGTACGCTTAATTTGGGTTGTATGGACCCCAGTGTTACCTACTTAAGCCTAAAAGAGGGTAGTTGGAGGGAGGGTCTATGTACTTGCCTATGATTTTGCAACCGTAGATATGCCTGCAAACCAGGGGGACGCACCGTACTACTCATGTGTATGCACTTGGGATACAGGTAGGCTTTGCGCAACATACTCAACACCCCACCCATCACATTGAATACCCCCTATGACTCCCTTTCATGGTACTTGGGCAATATTTGAGGTAACTGAGCAGGGGGGAGGGGTTAGTTTGCTACCACTTAGTTCGTAACAGTGCTGCTAGGGGTTACAGCTGGCAAGGCTTGAAAGTCTACGGAGTTGCTGTTAAGGAACTCAAGTAAAGTTACCCTTATACGGTAAGCAGATGGTCTACGATATATCCATATTTATTGGGGTAACGTAGTTTAAGCTCCTTGGAATACACTCCTATGTATCGCTTACCTAACTCAAGTTTCCGCTTCATGTTTCATGTTCTTTTCCATTTCGTTCTCTTTTACTTTATGGCAACTGAAGCCGGAAACCCTATACATAACTCCGTGTGAGTTCCCCACCAGCAACCCAGGCTGTTGGCCACCCACTTCCCGCTTCAGTCTGGCTACGCAAGCAAAATGTTAATAGCATGGACTTGCACTGTGACTTTGAAACATCCACTAGTAGCAATGGTAGTAGTATTCGTCGTCGGAATTGTTGTTGCCGCTGCTGCTGATGCTGCTGTGGCTACTGTTGCTCCTGTTGCCGCTGTTAATGCTGATGCTGCTGCTCCTCCTGCTGTTCCCGAAGCCGCATGTTTGAAGTGCATGTGAAATTCACTGTCTACATGGAGCGGACATGTACAGAATGTATGATGACATCTTCGAATTTGCGGGTGCGGGTGCTTTATGTTTGAGGCAAGGCCGCTTCCAACTGCTCCATGTTGCAGATTCGCACAGCCTTTTCCGACATCAAGTGCGAGCCGTGTGAAGACTAGCAAAATTTAAAGGCTAAGTCTTACAGCGGAGAAGCGCGACTGCCCTGTTGGGCAGCGCCTCCAGCCGTAGACGTCCTTTAAACCAATTCTGACTTTTGAAGCTTCTGACATTTTTCAAGAAGCCAAAATTCTAAAAGTAACCGCTGGGAGCACCAGAAAAGCCCAATGTAGGGACCTGGATACTTAGAGACATGCTTACTTCTATGTACATGCTACGAGTTTTATACAGAAACATCATACCAGGCAATAGGGCATTAACAATACAAGCAGTTGAAGGCATTGACGTTAGCAATCAATCAGGTGTCTACATTGTGGGCATGGATCCTTAGTCGAAAATGTCTGTGCCAGCAGCCTCGAAGCAGTCGGCGCCCTCCATGAAGGGGGGGGGCATCTAGGTTTAGAGGTTCAGGGTTTCGGGTTTGAGGTTTAGGGTTTGGGGTTCATGGCTTAGGTTTTAGGATTTGGGGTTAAGGGTTTGGTGTTTACAGTTTTTAGTAGGGTCAAGGGTTTAGTACTTGCAGTTTAGTAGGTTCATGCAAACGTTTGCCTCTTTCAAAGGTCTGACGGTATACGGGTTACTGATATCCTGACTTCGGTTTAGGGTTTAGGATCTATGGTTAAGGGTTTAGGGACCCCTACCCTACTCTGGGGCACTCTCCGATATGAGATCCTAAACCTTGGGACCCCGCATAATCCCTACATAACCTTTGCTTCCATTTGACTCTCCATGCTCTTTGCCATGTGATTCTCCAATTTGGGGTAGTATCCCTAAACCTCCTAACCCCTAAATCACAGCTTTCACTTTCCTTTCCATAATCCTCGTATGCACCTGTATGATCCTTTTTAAAGAGGCTATAACCCTACACCTAGGGGTTGGGCGGATTTTGCACTGGTCGGCTTGCGCAGTGTTTCCCTAGACCCTAAACCTCAGACCCTAAGCCCTAAACCCTCAGCCCTAAACCCTAAACCCCAAGCCCAAAACCCTGAACCCTCAGCCCTAAACCCTAAGCCCTAAACCCTGAACCCCAAGCCCTCAACCCTAAGCCCTAAACCCTGAACCCTAAGCCCTCAACCCTCAACCCAAAGGGCCGTGAGGGACCAGGGTAGAGACTATTTTGGCGCGCCTACGTAGTTGTTTTTTGAGTTCATGGCCAATACAGCTTATAGGGTTTAGGGTTCAGGGCTTAGGGTTTTGTAAGAAGGGCCTACATATGAGTCCTAGGGTAGGCTCCTGCTGTGGTATGAGGCCTTCAGTAATAGGGTCCATGCGACTTCGGCATTAAGGGGTCATGGTATCGTTTTTCGTCTCTTAAGGATTTTGGGGCGGTACGCTGGGTTTCGGCTTGGGTTTAGGCCCCTAATCCGAAAGGGAATTCTTATCTCTGCACTTTGGAGCCTACTACAGTCACATGTTAGTTAAAATGAGTTGTAATCGGGTCATCGTTATAGGGCTTGGGCTAGCTAGAGCCCCTGTCTTATTAGACCATAACCGTAGCCCTAAACCATCTAGCCCTAGCCCCGGACCCTGAACCCTAAACCGTGGGACCTCCAGGAAATGGGACAATGGGTTCGGGTTGGTCTTGGCGCTCTGATACCGGTCCAGGCCCGAGATTGTCTTCATCTCCTGAAAGCTTTCCGGGGTTATAGCTGCATAGGGTTCAGCGTTTAAGGTTTAGGGGGGTTAGGGTTGTAGTGGGTTATACTGGGGACGCTAGGTGGCCTTTAGAGGGGCTCGTGGAATACGTAGGATGTATGGCTTAAGCTTCAAGGTTTAGGTTCCGGGGCATGTTAAGTAGGTTTGTCATGGGGGCTTGGGGATTATTATGTGGCGACGGTGGGGATTATTATGTGGCGAAGAGGGGACTTCCCAGTAAGGATATCTAGGGGCTATACGCGAATATGTAGGCGATCCTAAGGGATCCACAGGAGTTTAGGGGAAATCTAGGAACATATGAGTCGATATCAAAGGAGGGTTAAGGAGGATGATTCCCCGGACCCCTAAACCTTAAACTCTAAACCCTAAGCCCTGAACCCTAATCCGCAGGTAAGGATTCAGACTTTGGGGCTCGGGGTTTGGCGCGTACGCGGATGAGTCGCAATGCCGGAGTAAAAAACAAAACTTCCAGGGTTTAGGATTCAGGGTTTAGGGCTCAGGGCTGGATGTCAATGTGATGGTTTCCAGAAATATGGGACGCCAATCTCGGCCGCAAACACTCGCAGATTTACTTCTTTCAAAAGCTACCCCTAATTACCCTGATTGGGGGAAACCTCCAGAATCATGGTCGCGGCAAAACAGACACCTTCCTTGATGCTGGTGGTTTTGGGTTTGGGGTAGAAGGCTTCAAGCCCTAAGCCCTTAGAAGTTTGGGGCTGAGGCTTCCGGGCTGTTTTTGCTTTGGGCTTAAGGTTTAGGATTACTCAAGGTCTCCTAGGTTGTTCCTTTTTTTTAGTTCGTTACGGCTTTTGATGAGGGAGTCCATTACACTACCCAAAATGAACTACATAGAAGGTTCTTGCCAAGGCGTAAGGGTTGCCAGTTGTACAGAGAAGGGAGTAGGATTTGGCGCTACCTCTTTTTGCAGTCCTAGGTTTTCCGTTTGGTGCTGCTGGTTTCTGGCAAATGTCGCTTAAGCCTGAAGAGTGGGAAAGTTGTTGGTGTTACCAGTCCTCTGCTCCAGACTGATGCCGAGTTAAACCACACAGATATACTAAGTGTGTATGGAGGGGCATGTGGACCTTCTTTTACCTCCGTTTACTAGGACCGTGGTGTATGTGGCGTACCCATATGTGTGAACATTTGTAAGCATGTCTACACATATACACACATACATGCTGCACATGTGAAGAATCCCCCAACCAGAAGCAAAAGCTACTCCTCCGCAGACAGCTCGAAATCATAGACGGCCAGATTCGTTGCGATGCGCTCAGGGGACATGCTTTTTGGGATGACGATGATCCTGCCTGGTGTGTCTCTCTGAGGTTTGGCTTTTCTAGGCTCTATGACGCTTCCAGTGTCTTCAACATTGACCTTCTGGTTGATATTGGATTCTGCGTATGTTCATCCAAAAAACACCGAAGCCTTGAGCGCCTGATGTTCACAAGGCTTCACCTTTTCCAAACAACATTCAACCCCTAAACCCTATGGACCCTAAAACCTAGACCTTGAGAGCCCTATACAACCGAGAAACACCCTAAACCTCAAAAGAGAGAGAGAGAGAGAGAGATATATATATATATATGTGATCCCTGCATACTCCCTTTGAACGGATCCTTGTGAACCCCAGAAGAAAATAGGAGTTAAGCTTGCTCACAGCTTGTAATAAGATCCCATTATACGGTTTAGATAGGGATACATAGCCCATCCCCTGTTAAGGGATCATACAAGGCTATACAAGGATTATGGAAAGGAAGCTGGAACTACTATTTAGGGTTT